TAAAAAAAAAAAAAAAAAAAAAAAACACCCCACAACTTTGTCATTTGTTTATAAAAATATCCTCGTTCTTTCCAAAAAAAAAAAATATATATATATATAATATTATTTTTGACTTTTCATAACGTTCTAAAATTGGATCGGTATATAATTTCTAAAAGGAGCGACTTTAAATATTGTATTATTTATTGTATGAAATAATTAAATTTTGATTAAATTACAAATTTAGTCTGATTACAATTTAATCTCTAAATATAATCCTTCAACATTTTAAGGACAATTAATAAAGAATAATTTTAATATCTAAAATCATAATAACTAAATTTATAATTTAAGAAAAATTATTAGTAACTCAAGATTAGATCGTTTTGTAATTAGTTGTAATTTTCGTTTCTTTTAATAAATTGAAGTGAATTCACGAGAGGTCTTAAGGTTTTGTTTGATATGAACGGTACGTAAGCTTGACCCATGTTTGTTATATAGTTTTCAATGTTTTCTTGTTTTCAATCTTTTTTCCGCTACAAAAGCTTTAATTATCATTATAATATTGTGGATAATTTTCATGACCTATGTTTAGCATTTAAAATATAAATTCGGCGCTTGATGATCCCGATATTTTCTTGCATCTCCTGCGACATGGTCACGTTATCTACTTCTTGCTTCTTAAGAGTGTAGACTATTCCGACATTCTCCTACATCCCGTGCAACATAGTCATGTTACCTACTTCTCGCTTCTTAATTGTCATGCCCTATGTTTAAGATTCAAAATCTAGATTGACCACTTGGTGGCCTCGACATTCCCTTGCATCCCCTGTGACATGGTCACGTTACCTACTCCTTGCTTTTTAAGAGTGTAGACTATCCCGACATTCTCTTGCATCCCTTGTGACATGGTCATGTTACCTACTTCTCGCTTCTTAATTGTCACGCCCTATGTTCAAGATTCAAAATCCATATCACTTGAAGGCCCTAACTTTCCCACGCATCCTCTGCAACATTGTCATGTTACCTACTCCTCGCTTCTTAAGAGGGAAGATTATCCCCACAGACCAACACGAGTCCTTCCAACATGTTTTGTCCTCACTCACATCCTCGCTTCTTAAGTGGGAAGACTATCACCACAGACCAACATGAGTCCTTCCAACATATTTTATCATCACTCACATGTTCGCTTCTTAAGAGTGAAGATTATCCCCATAGACCAACACGAGTCCTTACAACATGTTTAGTCCTCACTCACATGCTCGCTTCTCGAGAGTGAAGACTATCCCCATAGACCAACACGAGTCATTTCAGCATGTTTTGTTCTTATTTACATGCATCTTAAGAAAATTCCTCGGAGGTCAAAAAGAAAATTCCTAGGAGGTCAACAAGAAAATATTATTTTAAGTCTTTTTTAGTCATCATATCTAGAGGATCACTCATTCAAATGTTGTACCTGTTTCGATATAGAGCCTAATGCCTAGAACAAGTAGAGATATATTTGGAAGATATTTAGTAAAGATCTGATAGAGATATATATGGTAGATATTTGGTAAAGATTTGATAAAGATATATTTGTTAGATTATATTAATAGGTTTAAATGTTTGGAAGCTCTATCTAGAAAATTGAAACCATATATATCCCATTAGCCAAATGTACTTTTCTTAATCCTTTGTTTTTTACCTTATTGTACATACTTGAAGTCATCAATGATAAAACCTTTAGAACATTCCTCTTTATATTTTCTCTCTCCTGTTCTTTGTGTTCATCTTGATCGAGTGTGTGCGTTGTTGAGCGATCCTAACAATTGGTATCATAGCTAACAACTGGTATTAGAGCGGGGCGAGATTCACCACAATCTGTGAAGATGGAAATTTCAAAGATTGGAATTGGAAAGTTTGATGGATCCGATTTCAGTTTCTGAAAGATGCAAATTGAAGATTATCTGTACCATAAAGGTCTTCACGAACCCTTGTTAGGGGTGAAGCCGGATACTATGACCACGGAGCAGTGAAAGCTTAAGAATCATCAAGCCTTAGGGTTGATCCGGTTGTGTCCAAAAACATGGCGTTTAATATCATCAAGGAGAAGACAACGTCAAATCTGCTGAAGACGTTGTCGAATATTTATGAGAAACCGTCGGCTATGAATAAGGTGTATTTGATGCGAAAAAAAAAAAAAAATCACAAATCTGAAGATGAGATGATTCTATACATTCAGCAGAAGATACCAAGGATGCTCTAATCCTTAGTGTGGATAACTCAATTGAATCTTGAATTCAGGTGCATCGTTTCCAAATTAGGGATCATTTCAAAATTTCAAATCAGGAAACTTTGGGGAAGGTATATCTTGCTGACAACAAAACCTTGCTGACGACAAAACCTTGGAGATTGAAGAAAAGAGAGATGTCTCCATACAAACTCCAGATTGGAATCAGTGAACATTAAAGGATGTCAGATATATTCCTAATCTGAAGAAGAACCTGATTCCGATGGTTAGTTAGATAGCACAGGTTATGCAGCCGAGTTTGGCATGAGTTCGTAGAAGATTGTGAAGGGTGTCATGGTGTTAGCACGTGACACAAAATCCAGAGGATTTTGAATCATTATTAACATAATGAAATTTTATATTTTTGGTATATTTTTATTAAAAATATATTTCATACTATTTAATTCCAATTATTTATGCAAGTTTAATTAATAATTAATTAAATTATATATTTTATATGTCTTTTTATATATTTAGTTATTTTTGAAATATAACATTTATAATTAAATTTTATTTAATTATTATATTAATTATTTATCCTCAAAACTTTCAACCAAACAACCCATTAATTAACCAGTTACTTCAAAGGTGAATTTTATTTTATTTTTTCAATTTTGATACAAATAAAAATATTTAAATTAAAATATTATTATTATTATTATTATATTATCTAAGGGAAGTATAAATTTGGCATTTTATAAGGTAAGTAAATTGTATATATTGTTTTGCACGTTTTTCGATTCAACATATATGGAATGAAGACTTTGAACCTCTAACTTTGTGATCGAGATTACATATATATTTATGTCAATTGAGTTATATTTTAGAGTACTTTTGAAATTATTAAAATTACTTTTTTGTCGGTATTCAAAGTAACCTTAAAATATATTTTTAATTAATCATAATTAATTTTATAGTAAAAAGATTGGAGTCAAAATTTTGTAGATTTCGAGACTGGGGTTTTCACGAGTGCATTACGCGTAAATCCGAACATAATTTAATAGATAAGATATCAATTATAATCATAAAAATCAATTCTTCGATCCTTGGCGGGTAATGGTTGAACTCGTTCTTATACATTTATATATCTTTTTCTATGAACGAGTAATGAATATCGAGATTATACACGAAGGATCCTTAAATTTTGGTTGTTGTTAAAGGAAAATCTCATTAATTTCTAGGTTGGATGTTTCTCTAAATGCAATGTTCATCAATTGAGGATCTGATTCATTTGAGTTCCTAAAAAAATATAAGAACATAGAAGAAATGAAGATCACAAGCACAAAACCCTCATTAATTGCTCTTTATTTCAGCAAAGAAACTGACATTACCCTTCCATTTCAAACCATGAACAAACTTTCGACTTTTTGATCGAGATCAGGTGGATCTAAACTCCTTAGTTTCTTCGTCGTAGAGGCTTTGAACTCTAAACCCTAAACTCTAAATCGAGTTTTTCGAGCCTCGTATCTCTTACACCATAACGTCTTGCTCTCAATCGAAAACTTGGCTTCGTCTTTTCCTCCTAGAATTATTGCTGGTATTGAAGATGCAACAAATACCACCTTCCCAAACAATGGCAATTGAGTCCCTCCGTCCGGATAATGCACGTATACCCTTTCGATGCACGACCCGTAGTTTCTGTTTATATCAATTAAAAGCGAAGAAGATTCAATAACGAAACGAAATCGAAATAACGAGAGCTTCGTTTTTCGTTCGCCCTAAAAATCTATTTTATCAATAGATCTGTTAAAAAGTTCAAATCTTTTTAAAATCCCTTAATTCTATCAACCCCTCCTTACAAAAACTCTTAGAGAACACCTTCGACTGAACAGAACACTACAAGAAATAATAGATACGATAGCTTACGAAAGAAGGTTAGAAAGGGCGTACCGAGTGAAGAAGTTAACAATTTGGTGTTCCGAGAGCGGGTTTCCATTCGAGAAAGTGAGAAAGAGGCAGCGATCTTCCTCGGGAGCGCAATCGAAAAGAGGGTTCCATTCTTTGGCCTGAGGGTTCAAATGATCAGCGCCATTAAAGCCCTGAAGGGAGTCCATTTGAGGGCTGTGTGTGGTGTGTGTGTGTGTCTGTGGAGAGAAAATGAAGCAAAAACTGTGGACTTTGAAGAGGAAAAGGAAGAGATTGAGAAGAATTTATAGAAAATGAAAGATTACGACTGTTGGGAGAATTGAGCCAATGCTGAAATGGAAACAACAAGCGGTCACAATGTAACAGTTTAAGGTTTGTTTGTCGTAAAGTTTTAAGGTTTTTGTGTCTGTCTGTCCCTTGCATGCTATGTCTGTCTTTAGGCATCATCCCATTCTCTCCATTCATTAATTAATTACTCAATTAATTTGCTTTCTTATCTTATCGCTTTTATTCATTTCCTTTTTGGGTTTTATTGGATCACGATTCGTACTTCTCATCCCTTCTTCGGAGATATCATGTTTAAATCAATTGAGCTATGTTCATATTGCGTGTTTCTCTCGTCCTTTCTATGCTTCGTTTCTCTAATTCTTTCTTCCTTCTTGAGCTATATTCGTGGTTCATTTCCGTGTCTTGATTTAGATAGGTCGTGTGATGAGTAATGGCATGAATTGCCATAAATAACTCTGGTGTTCGTATGTTTTTATCCCTCGTTAGGTAATGTATTTGTTTTGTCATTGATTGACAATAATATATCCGATTATCAAAAATACTTACGAATGGAAATTCTTCTACTTTTATTTGTCTGATCATATCTTTTTAATTACTTTAAACACGGTGATGTGACAACACATGTACCGGGTTTAGTTAAAGTATTAACTATTAAAAAATGTACAATTATGATTTAAGTTTTAATTTGCTATAGAAAGGTTTCCACACCTTTAATGATTTAAATGGATGTGAGATCTCACAATTCACCCCATGAGGGCCAACGTTCTCGCCGGCACATCACTCAGTGTCTAACTTTGATACCATTTATATAACCGTCCAAGCCCATCGCGGGTCGATATTGTCCACTTTTACCCGTTTTGTATGTTTATTTTTTAAGATCGAATGTTGAAAATCTCGCACTTATAACATAAACTTACAGAATAATTATGTTGATATGATTTTTTTATTTAAAATATATGCTTTAATTATTTTTTTTTCGTTCTGTCTTAACCAATTAAACTATATACTCGTGAGATATTAATATGACTATGATTTTTGAAACGTAGATGTTCATATTATTTATATGATGTGCATTTTCTTTTCTCATTACAAACAATAAAATAGCAAGTTATTCATTTTAGCATATAATAATAATATCTAAGAAAGTTCCTAAATAAATAAATAAATTTATATATTGCAATTAGCTGATACTAGCTAATTCATTACTAATGTACTATTTGATACTTGTTAGGTTGTGATTTTAATCTTCGGGTGTATGTCGGTGGGGTTGAATTGGGTTGAAAAAATCTTTTGAACTAACCGAAAATTTTGGATTGGTTGAGATGGAGACCCGAACAACCCAAATAGAGTTCACAACTCAACCCAAAGGTTGGATTAGATTGTCGGGTTATTTTTTAATTATTTAAAAAAATATATACTCGGCTACGATACAGGTTATCTTAATAACTAAAATCTTATAAATTTTAAATATCAAACATTTACACGTTAAGTATTCTTAACTTTTTTAAAAGTAGGGTAGAGTTGGGATGTATTACTTTTTTTCGGAGTTGACTTGGCCAAAAAAAATGTCAACCCTACAAATCAAACTGAATTTTTAATTTTTCAAAAATTTAATCCAACCCAAATAAAAAAGAAAATCTAATTCAATCCAACTTTTATAGTTTGAGTTGGATAATTTGAGTTGTTCGAACTACCGAGTCATATGAACGCTCCTATCTTGATCTATGTATCTAAGATGTATACGGACATACTTGTACTCCAAAAAGCTTCCTCCTTTCTTTCAAATTTTCGAACAACAGTCAAAACTCGTTGGAAACAAGCGAGGAGCCTTTCTCGTTTGTTTCAAAGGAAGCTTGTCGAATGAAAAAAAATGTATCTTTTAACCGGTTAAACTCTACTTGACTTAACTCCAATTAAATATACAAATATCAATAATCCTACAACATTGTTTTTTTTTGTCAAAATAAAACTTAAATTATTTCAATTTAATTAATTAACACGAACATAATTCAATTGATTAAAATATTAAGAAGGTAGAAAGTAAAATAATACTTTTTTTAAAAAAAAAAAAAAAAACTTCTCATTGGTGGAAAACAAAGCTGGTGGAGAAATTAGAACTTAATTTAAGGACGTGTGAGAAAATAGAATTAAAATTTAATGGTCATGTCTAATGGATAAATATGATTTTTTTTTTAAATAATAATTAAAAAAAAGAACCACGGAAAATCTAACCCAACTAACTTGGAAAGAGATAGTTTGATTAGATTGAGTTGGAATCTCTATTGTTGATGACGTTATCAATCCAATCAATTAGAAATTTCAGATTGAACCAAATAAAAATTTTCAACTCAATCTATGTATACCCTAAATTTAGATTTAAATTGTGTAATTATTTGAAAAAAAAATGCATAAAATTATATTAGAATAACAATAATTTTGTTGGGTTAACTTTAATTTATTTTTTTTAATATCCAAATTTTAAATCTAGTGTTTTATAATTTTATAATTTTAATATAAATCTAAAAAATCATTGAAGAAAATGAGAGATCAATATATTTACCCAATTTTTAAATCAAATGTTTATATATATATATATATATATATATTTTGGAGAGTTATAAGTAATGGAAAAAAGTACAGCAAATGTACTAAAATAAATATTTTCAACATTTTTTTAATTTTTTATGTTAAAGACAAATGAACCCTACATGTGTGTATATATATATATATATAATATATATGTCAACCAATTTTTAAAACGCTTTCGAAATAAAATTTTATGAATAATTTTCGTCTCCGATTCACAATTTTTTTAATTTTTGTTTTAGAAATTAAAGGTAGATTTGATTTTTTAAAAAAAAGATAATAAAATTAAAATTAAAATTAAAAAGAGGAAAAAAAAATCAAAATAGTCCTAAAATATGACAAAAAATGATTAATTCAATAAAAATAAAATAAAAAAGAAAAAAGGGAAGAAAAAAAAAAGGAAAAAAAAGGAAAAGAATTTGAAAGCAATAATAATTGAAATGAGAGCATCTTGCATGCACAAAGGGAGAGGCCAACTAGGATTATTTAAAATCCAGTTGGGTAACCAAGTTGGTTGTTTTTGGATTATTTGCTTTATTTTATTTTATTTTATTTTTTTTCCCCAATGTTTTGCATTGCATTTTAATACAATTTTGGATTATTTGTTTAATTTTAAATAATTTCTATTTAGTCCCTTCTTTTTTAATATTTTCCTATTTTTTTTCCAATAAATATTTGGACCCAGTCCTTCTGTACTCTTATTCTTTCTTTTCCTTCACTCAACGCGCTTATTTGATATCGATAGTTTGAAAAAAAGTCAGAAGAATTTAGTCCATATGATTCTAAACGTTAATGTTAGTTTTTATGAGTTAATAACACTATTAAAAAATTATTTATGAATATTTTTATCTAAATAATATGGACTATTTGCACGGATTTATCAAATTATAAACACGAAATTCTATTTAGGAGTGTACATGACTGGTTGAGTTGATGACCCGAGCAACTTAAATAAAGTTCACAACTCAACTTAAAAATGGGTCGTCCCCGTTCTTTTTCTTTTTTAATTATTTCAATATATTTTGCTTATTCATAATATAGGTTACCTATCAAACATTTACAAGTCACAAATCATCACTAAAATTGGTTACAATAGTGGATTGGGTCGGATTGTAATCCTATTTTCAAGTTAATCGATCTGACCCAAACTAAGAAAAATATCAACCCACAAACTCAATCAAATTTTTGGTTTTCAAAAGATTCAATCGGTGTTGGATGATGAAAGTCCGACGTTGGCTAATTTAGGGAATGATCATGGGTTTATAAGTGAGGAATACTAACTCCATTGACACGAGGCCTTTTGAGAAAGCCCAAAGTAAAATCATGAGAGCTTATACTCAAAGTAGACAATGTCATACCATTGTGAAGAATCGTGTTCGTCTACATGACCCAAAAAAAAAAAAAAAAAAGAATCTGATCCATGATTTGAATGTGATAGTATGAGTTGGTCGAGTTATCAATTTATATAAATACGACTAATTTTAAGGAGAAATAATGAGAAAAATTAAGGAAAACAAAAACAAAAACAAAAAGTGTGCTGTCGTATGAAAGTAAACATGAAAATGGCTTAAAGAAATAAAAAGGGTCATATTTGTTGTACCAAATGATACTTAACCACACAAGGCCTTGGCTTTGCCTTTGCCTTTGCCTTTGCCTTTGCCTTTGCCCCTCTCACCATCATCGAATGGAACCATTTTTCAATTACATTCAAGCATCTGATGCGAAAGAAACCATCATTTGCAGCTCTTCCTCTGTCGCAACAAGCCATGGAAATGGACACATCTCTGACAACACAAAACAGAGGACCTCTGAGGAAGAAGATAAGAGCCACCATAATATGTTCAGAGGAGTTCGTAAACGAAACTGGGGCAAATGGGTTTCCGAGATTCGTGAGCCAAGGAAGAAGACCAGGATTTGGCTTGGAACTTACCCAACCGCCGAAATGGCAGCGCGAGCCCACGACGCCGCCGCTCTGGCCATAAAGGGTCACTCTGCATTTCTCAATTTCCCTGAATTGGCTCGGTTCCTTCCTCGCCCACTCTCCAAGTCCCATAAGGACATTCAGGCCGCGGCGGCGCAGGCGGCTGCCACCACATTTTCGGAGGGAAACAACCGTGAGGGTGAAGGAAGGGAAGCGGCGGAGAACATGGAGACTCTGTTTTCTGGTAGCGACGGCGGAGAAAGAGCAGAGGACTCCACGAACTCCCCGTCGACGGCCGCTAGTGATGAGACATTGTTCGATTTGCCTGATCTGTTCGTCGGAAGTTCTGATTTGAAAGATGGGTTTCTTTGTCATTCTTCGTTATGGCAGTTTTGTGCGGCGGCCGATCATTCTGGTTTCCGGCTGGAAGAGCCTTCGTT